GTACTAACAGAACAGTAGTATGATGTAAAGAAAGGGTGGTTGAAAAAAGAAGCAGCGTGTGCGTAGGGGAGGAGGGATTCGCGGAGCGATATCGAGATTCTCATGGAATTCAATATCGTCCGGCCAAGTGGCGACGCGAGAGCGCGGCGGGGCGCATACGGGACGGAGGAAGGTGGGGGCGAAGAGTGGGAATGATTGGGAGAGGGAGAGAATGGTGCGGGAGCGCGGTGAAGAGACTAGGTACGTACCATATTCCATGTCATGATTCCATACCAATCCACTCTCTCTGTTCGCCGCAGCGGGGGTCAATACCGTCGGGAGGCTGACGGTAGGGAGGTGGGGGACGCGAGGACAGCGAGAGGGCGTCTTGGGAGATTGTCGGCGGAGGCAACGAGCGGGGCAGGCAGCCTGCAGCGAGGATTGTCGAGGCGTCTGGACGTCAGCGCGCGACGGCGGCATTCGGGAGGGGCGGGAGGCGGCGGGCCGCGCGGGCGTGAGTGGGAAGGTGGGTGTGGTGTGCAAAAGGGCGGGAGGTGGGTGCGCAAGGGCGAGGTGGTGCGGAATTTGGAGGGAGGTGTCGTCGGGTGCGGGCGGGATGCGGGCGGGTGCGGTGGCGCGGCGCGGGGGGTAATCTGGGTGCGTGACGTTAACGGCGGAATGCGGTCCGAGGTGCGCACGTCGAAAGGCGGGGTGCGGTCGTTGCGCAGAGGTGTGCAGCGGGTGGGGTCGGATTTGGAAGGAGGTGCGGCCCGGCGGGGGCGAGGTGCGGTGATGCGGATGGGCCGAGGTGGGGTGCGTGCGTAGCGTTGACGGAGTGTTAGGTTAGGTGTGGGCGAGAGAGGTGCGCTGGTCGTCGTGGTCGTTTGGGAAGAGGTGCGTGGTGCGTTGATGCCGGCAGTGATGGGTCGGCTTTAGTCGGCGATGGGTCCGTAAGGGGTGCCGCGGAGTCGGGCTGGGTGGGTGCGGAGGTGTGGACCAAGGGCATTTTACCGGGGTGCGGCCGCACTCAAAAGAGGAGAAATAGGGGTGACGTAATTAAAAATAGCAGAAGGAGGTGTCGGTGTGCTCTTCCGATCAAAACCCAAAATCTTGAGCCGTTCTGGTTGGTAAAAAAATGTATTGCAGAGTGAATATGGAGGGAAAAAATATGAAAGTGCTAGATTCTGGAAGCCCAGAATCAAGGGATTCCGATGATGTCCATATGCGAGGTTGAATTCTGTGAACATTGAGCATCGCAAGTTGAATTTCGACAACTTCCCCTCAGACAACTAGTCTTTGGGGCCATTGCTCCGCCTGGCAGTACGAGTCCTTGGGCCGCTGCGCGGCCTTATCCGTGGGGGAGATTATCATTCACAAAAGGCCGCTGATTTGGCCAATGTTCTGGGATATGTGGTGCTTGATGCGGTGTTGCAGGCTCACTCGAACTATATTATGGCCTTGAGGCCTAGGGCTCACCATGAAGTGGGACATTTAGCTGACTGGATATCAAGATCATGATCAATACATTTAATTGTTGAGCTGCCCGAGGTTTCATTGAACTTTGGACGGCTCGGCACTTGCCCGACCTTTGGTCGATTTGACCGAGCCAACCATGAACTTGGGGCACAAACCTGCAGTGATCCGAGCCACAATTCTGAGTGCTAGGTCAGTCGAGGGCAGAAGTTGTAACGAAAGGGGTGATTGGTCACTTCTTCTGAATTTTCCTGCCTGAACTCTGCGGAAGTTGGCCCCAAGGTTGGCTCTCTGGCAGGTCTGCCAAGGACTGCTACCCCGATTTAAAAACAGGGGGTTTTGGCCCAACCATTATAAACTGGGTTTATAAACATGTTTATTAGAACCCTAACTCACGGATATTGCCGTGACTCTGTGCATCGGCACGGATATTGCTGTGACTCCGTGCATCGGTGTGGGCTGCCGTGACTCCGTGCATCGGCGTGGGTTGCCGAAACTCCGTGCATCGGCGTGAATTACCGTTACCCCTTCGGTGACGCGCGTCGCCACAACTCCGTGCATCGGCATGGAGATTGCCGTAACTCCGTGCATCGGCGTGGATTGCCATGACTCCGTTCATCGGTGCGGATTGCCACCGCACTTCGGGTGTCTCAACACTGCTCGGCATCACATGCCGAGAGCATAGCCGTTGAGCCGGTACCAGCAGTTTAGTTGATTAAGTATTTTTTTCACGAGATGTTCCTCTTGGCTGTTCAATTGAACTCTCGTTAGGCATCGCGCGCCTCGAGGCTGTTTAACAACGGCAACATTTTAGCCGGCCACCCGAAGTTGCAAGATATAAATCCACCCATCACTCCCATCCATCTTCCCGGGTTACCTCCCCTCCGTTGGATCAATGAGAATCACTTGCTCAAACACCGATTCTCCGGGTGCCGGCTGGACTGCTTGGACACCCTGCTGGGTTGCATCAAACATCGCTCTATTTGTTCCTGTCCAGTGCTCCGCGGAAGTTCATTAAACCACATGCACTCACCATGCTTAACTCAATCCCTCGGGTCCCCCTTTCCCTGGGCTTTACAAATTTACTATCAACTGGGAGTGCTGCAGTACCATTCTATCCTGAACAATTGTTGTCCCCTAACAATTAAAGCTAATTGTGACTGAAACAAGCTCCACCGAGCTTTGTATAATAAATAGAGTGGTTCGGACCCGGTTTCATACATCTCATTTGGTAACAAATTAGAATTTTTTGACATCTTGTTTGATATACTTGGAAAAGTGCGGGCAACTAAACAATGAATAAGGTGTGGGCTCGTACACACCTCAGGCTGTCTGCCGGAGCCGCGTAGATCTTGGTCCGGTCTCTGGATCTCCAAATATGATGTCGATGAAGGAAGATCAGTGATATTAATACGGATCAGCTTATCCAAACACTCCCAAAGATATAAAATAAAATAAAATAATAATACGGATCAGCAGAAACACAGCCACTTGCAAGGTTGAGAACCGGTGAATCCAGAGATCAAGCACCTCTTGGTGTCCTGATTGTTGTACGACCTCAAGGACTCTGAGGGCTGACTGCACTCTATGGTGGCAGGGTCAATTAAAACTAAACATGTTTAAAATGAAGAGCCCAAACTCGCGCTGCCGGTGTCCACGCGTCCAGGTGGCACCCTGAACAACTGAGTCGGTAGACTCTTATCACGTCGCACTGCCCTTCGACCCACATTTCCCCCGAGTATGTATATAAGAAGGCCCATGACTGCGTTTCTTCATCCCTTTCCCCCGCCTTTCGTCCTCTGTCCCCAGCAACTCTCAATGAACATATTGTAAAAACAAGCGAGCGCTTGTTGGCACCAGTGGAACAACGTGCTGCATCTGGGCCAGCATTCCTCGCAGACCGTTCACCTAACCACCATGTCTCTTGTGCCGCTCTCTGTTATTGTGGCCCGGGCACAAGGATTGCATGGAATTCTTTTTCGTATTTGACTTAGACTAGCTCCATGAGCAATGCCGTACCTTCATTTCAAAGATAATACTCACACCATTCGGCAACACATCGATCCATCAATTCAACGTCCCATGGTTTGAATTAGGTTTCGTGTTCAACAGTTTCTCTTTCCCAATTTGTAGTATGTCAAAGAAACACACAGAACATGTTGTTTTCTGCACTGGTTCATCTATGTCAAGTTGGACGGCCCCCGATCTACATATCTCCATCCTGTCATTCCTACTTTCTCAGCTGTGAAAGAATTGTTTCACATCCTGATTTGGACTCATTCATCTCCCAAAATCATCTCATCGGCTCATATTCCCACGGTTCGATCCTGCCGCAAATTTATTTGACTGAGCCCCGGACTTTGAATGGAGCAGAGGTTGATGCATTGTATAAATGCTATGACATTCAGACCACAAGAACTTATCAAGGGGCGCGGTTGAGGTCTGCGAGAAATGTCTCCTAAATTTGTGACTTGTCTCGTCTATTTCATATTCTGAAGGGCTTTTTGCACCCAAGTCTTCGTGTGACGCTTGTGTGACCCTCATTCAATCTCCGAGGTTTTTACGTTCCGTAACTTATGTTCTGTCAAACACCCTATTGGAGCAGCACTGCCGGCCGCGCTGCGTAACCTCTGTGAAATGCAGGAGCAGTCATTGGCTAGCAAACTCAAGGAGGCTATACAGTGAGGATGGTGAGTTGCTGAGTTACTAAAAATAATGTAAAGCTCAGGATCATCTACGTCATTGGGGGCTAAGTCGATTTTTGGCTGGCTCACCGAACCAAAGAACGAGTCTAAAAATAAATTTTTAGGACTCGTAACATCCCGGGATACTCGTTCAAATCGACAGGAGGGGTGACGCGTGGCCCATTTTCCCTATTCGACATTTCGACAGGCGCCGAATTTTGCGTGACACCTCGAAAACTAGTCATACATCCATTCCGTTCTCTACCTATAGATCTTTTACAGCATCGCCCTGGGAATTCCCACAAGCTTAGTGCTCAACAGCTGATGTAGTTATTTTAAGTCCTTAAAAATACGATGAAAGCCGTCATCCTAGCGCTTATCCTCTCTTCTTCCTTCCACCACCGTCGAAGACCCTCCATGGACAGCAAACGCCACGCAGATGCCCACCTCGTGATCTCATTCACACTACTTGCGTCCACGCGGATCGTGTTTCACGGGCACCTAATCCAGGTACGGCGGCGCGATGTTCTCTAGCTCACATCACATTAGGGTGGATGGTGGTAGCTTCCACAACGTCACGAACAACTACACTAATGCTCCATCTATTTCGTGTCTCCCACAAATCTGACAGATATTCACTACATATTGCCCAGATTTCCGCATGATCCCACTAAGAAACTATATGAAGTTTGTTTAAGCAATGGCTGTCTAGACATACAATCAAACTTGAGCAATGTTCTGATTAATCAGGAGGGTGGCCCCTGCAAGGGAGCTCAGATCGTGATAGGTGTTTAAACAGGATTAAACTTTGTTCTGATTGAACAGAACAATGCTCAAGCGAATCACGAGGGTGCATCAAAAATGCGGCCGCTATGAGTTTCGAACTCAAGACGATTGAGTTGCGTTGCACATCCCAGCCCACAAGATTAACCACTACACCAAGGAGGCGTCGATCAAGCCTTCTGTGAAAGGCCTATGGCTAGGCTCTCCTCTCTGCCTTCAAAACATTTTGTATATGTCAGTTCTTCATTCATCAAGTCCTTTTTGAATGTGACCCTACAAGAGGAGAGTACTTAGTGATACTAGAGGTAAAATCAGATTTAGTAGTACTGCCCCAAAATACCAGGACATGCACACCTACATCAGCAAACCCTGATTTTCCCGGTAGTGGCAGTGGCCTGTAGTAAGGGCTCAACCACAGAGTACTACAGAGTGCTCTGTAGTAAGGCCCCCTACTACGGAGCACTCTGTAGTTGAGCCACTACTACAGAGTACTCTGTAGTCAGGCCTTATTTTGTAATACTCTGCGTCACTGTAGTGAACATTCAACTTACGTTTTCTTCCTCATCTCAGGTTGCGGTCAATGGACAAAACAAAAAGTATTGAATAGATATTAAGATAGAGTCCAGAACAGTTCCTTCGTGAACCACTTATCAAACCAAAATTCATCGCAGTAGTCCAAACTCGTCTGACTAGTCAACTTTTTATTTGCCACCTTCCTAAACCTTGGAGTCAACTCTATTCGGGCTCGAATACAATGGAGTGGAACAACATCGCCCATAACAGAGCCATCTGCCCGACGAGCTCGTTTGAGTTGGAACATGCCGGTGGATGACCCCGGAAAAGGACCCGCTCGCTCCACCTTCAGGATTTGGTTGGCTGATAATGTTGAATCATTGAATATATGCGAGAAACTGCTCGGTCCCCGCTGGTGCTACACAATCCGACTGGGGAATAACACGGAAGATTAGCTTTAACTGGCAGATTGCATGGCCTAGCAAATGAATGATCAGACAGAATCAAATCATATAATTCCACAACGTACCTGCAAGGCCACTCCTGGGCCAGTGGTAATCATCGTCTATGTTTACAAGTACAGGATCTCCCCGCCCAGATTGCCAGGCCCCTTTAGGCGGTTCCGCATTGACAGTCTCCGGCTCCAAGAGTTGCTGGGTATCATGGTAGGAGCGAGTTTGTATGCGGACACTATGCCAAAGTTGCAGATAAGTAAAGACAGGCTTGTCCATGGTGAGTTTGGGACGCCTGCCACCAACAATAAGATAACCTGTGGGCCCACGCTGTATGAAGTAAGAAGAGTGTCTTTCAGATCTGGGAGGCAGAATCTGGTTGATGCATCTTCCACAGTAACACGGCAACCAACATGATCTCGGTTGAGATGGAATGCTGTGCGGCCATCCACGGAGATGAACGTTCGGAACGGGGTGGGTGTTTTGGGGTATTTACCGGCCAACAGAGCGGAACTATAAGTGAAATAATCCACTCTCTTGCGTCCGGGAGAAAGACTAGCCACAAGGGGATGCTGCTCGTGCTCCTCCAAGAAGTCCGGATCATCCCCCAGCTCTTCATCCAAATTGCCCCCTCCCAAGTCCACTCCCGCAGTCTCTATGGACGTAGCAAGGTCAAAAAGGTCGCATTTGTCTCTGCGATCTAAATGGCGACAAATCTGGGCCTCATAACCCTGGTTATTTGAGTTTTGAAGCGGGCACTTTGACTTCTGTGATATGAGCATGCTCCGTAACGTCTGCTGTCCACTGAAGAGGAACACCATTGGCGCGAGTAGCGGTTGGGCCCAACTCGCAAAACAACAACCTAAGGACAGACCGGGTGCCAGTGCATGCACTTGACAGAAGGCAGCAATGTACGTGCGGAGGGCCGAAGAGGGGCATGAGAGCATCAAGAAGCAGGGATACAGTGACCTGATCAAAGAGAAGGCCAACCGTGTGTTGTTCGTGGATAGTGATGCTCAGGGCCCGGCTTCAAGCCTGAAGCCCGCCAGGCCAGGCCCGTTCAAGCCCAAGCCCGGCCG